CCCCTTCCATCCAACCCCTCTCCCCTTCCTCCAGTCCCCCTCCCCTCTTCCCTTTCCCTTCCTCCCCCTCTTCCCCCTTCTCCCCTCTTCCCTTTCCTTCCCCCCAACTACTTCCTCCGCCTCCCCCTCCCCCTTCACCTTCACCTGACAATCACCAGCTGACCTCACCTCCCATATGACGCGTAAAGGAGCGGGGAATGTGAGCTGGAAACCAATGGGAGTTTGACCGTCACATAGATACATATATACATTTTGACGCGCTGTGTGTGTGTTTGTATGTGTGTATATATGTGTGTGTGTGTGTGTGTGTGTGTGTTTGTGTGTTTGTCTGTTTGTGTGTGTGTGTGTGTGTGTGTGTGTGTGTGTGTGTGTGTGTGTGTGTGTGTGTGTGTGTGTGTGTGTGTGTGTGTGTGTGTGTGTGTGTTTGTGTGTTTTCCTTTAAGATTAATTTTTCATTTCATTCTTTCTCTTTCTCTTTCCTCTCTCTTCAATACCTACTCGTTTTTTTCCTTTCTTCTTTTTCTTCTTCTACATCATCTTTTATCTTTATCTTCATCGTCTTGTTCTCCCCCTTCCTCCTCTTCCTTCCCCTCCTCGCCTCTTTACCCATCATCCCCCCTCCTCCTCTCTCTCACATCCTCATTCCTCCTACTCCTACTCCTCCTTTTCTTCTTCTTCTTCTTCCTCCTCCTCCTTCTCCTTCTTCTTTCTTTTCCTAATCTCCCTCCTCCTCCTCTTCTTTTCATTTTCTTCTCATTCTCCTCTTCTTTCTTCTCCTAATCCCCCTCCTCCTCTTTTTCTTTCTCTTTCTCCTCCGTCTCCATCTCCTCCTCTCTTCTTTTTCTTTTCTTCTTCCTCCTCTTTTTCTTTTCTCCTCCTTCTCCTCCTCTTCTTTTTCTTTCCCTCCTCCTCCTCCTCTTCTTTTTCTTTTCCTCCTCCTCCTCTTTTCATTTTCTTCTCCACCTCCTCCTCTTATTATTATTCTCCTTCTCCTCTTCCTCCTCCTTCTCCTTCACAGTTAGCAAATCACTCACGTTCAGACACGAGCTTAGCACATTCACCGGAAGAAGCGAAGGAGAATACCGCACATAAAGGCGATTAAACCTCCTCACTCCTCACGATTTCCATCATTACGTGATCGAGGGGTTTAGCTCCCGCTTGTCCCCCGCGCGGTCTAAATAGTTTATGTTACAAATAAGGGATTCCGGGACATTACCTCGACTGCTTGTGGTTTATCATTTGAGATTGTGTTGCGGGCTCTTCGTCTTGCTCTACGGAGATCTACACACATGTATATATACATATATATGTATGTATATATACATGTAAACATATATACACAATATATCAAACACACACACAAGTATATATATATATATATATATATATATATATATATATATATATATATATATATATATATATATATATATATATATATATATATATTACCCTCATACACGCACGCGCGCATATCTATATCTATAATTATATCTATTCAACTGCATCTATCTATTTATCTATATATTATATATAAAACACACACGCCTATATTTATGTTTATATCTATCAATCCAACTGTACCTATCTATTTATCCATCTATCTATCTACATATACCTACTTAGAGAAAGAAAGGTAAAGATGGATGGATATACGGATAAACAAGACAGATAAAAAAAAATCAGAAAAAAATAGAAATACAAAGACCGAGGAAACAGAAAACACGAAAGAAAGGACATGAATAAAGGGAAAAACGAAACGCACTTCCACCTGATTTTAGGCAACGTCGACGTCCGCCAAACAGATGGCGCTTGAGTGGTAAAACGTAAACGTGGGATCCCGCGCGAAGGACTCCACCCTTGGTTTTTCGTGCGCATCCTACGCCACGAACTCCTATGCCCCTGTGCCCCGCCCTCCTCCCCTCCCCTCAATCTTACGCCTACATCCCTCCCTCCCCGGCGTCTCCTCTCACATCCTACGTAAGAGACCCACGCATAATGAGGATGGGGGTAACGGGGAAAGGTGATCAGGGAGAAGGGTGATATATATGTATGTATATGTATGTATATGTATGTATATGTATGTATATGTATGTATATATATGTATATATATATATATATATATATATATATATATATATATATATATATATATATATGAGAGAGAGAGAGAGAGAGAGAGAGAGAGAGAGAGAGAGAGAGAGAGAGAGAGAGAGAGAGAGAGAGAGAGAGAGAGAGAGAGAGAGAGAGAAAGTGAAGGTGGGAGCCAGGAGGATAAGGAGGGACAGCACGAGAGAGAATAGGGGAATAAAGGGAGAGAAAGAGGGGGAATAGAGAGGTAGCGAGAGAGGAACAGGGTCACAGGGGTCGGAATAGGAGGAGGGGGAAGAGGGTAAGGGTTTGGGCCGAAGGATATACAAGGTAGGCGGCCGAGAAAGGAATCCGCTCAAAACACCTGCTTCAGTTTACCTTCGAGTAATGTAATGGCGTGACCTGGTGGGGAGAGGTTACTTTTACTGTAGATGTTACGCTGGTCATTTCCACGGTGGGACTCAACGGGACTAAACATCTATCATCACAAACCTTATGCAGAATCATATCTCTATAAAAGTTATCCGTTAATCATGGAAAACAGCTAGGAAGATGACTACAACAGAAAGAGGAACTATATCATTAGTATCCATAATATCAATAATATCCATAATACAATATACAAAAAGAACCACACCAGAAAAATACAACACAACATACTACGGGATATATAAAAATAACAGCAAAATAATACAAAACAGACATAACATAAAGGTAGGCCTATACAACAGCAACACCAGATACACAACACCTGTAGTACCTCCGT